TTTCATTGCAGTTAAACGAAATGTTGTCTAGAGTAAAATAAAATTTAAAAAAAGACATTGAAAAGATTTTTCGTTTATTACATACAATCCAAAGTCCATTTTCTAAATATTTAATTCTTGTTTGAACAAAAAATATGTCTATTAAATAGAGTACATCACATAAATAATCGATTAACATCCATAACCAAATATTTGTTTCGCCTTTTTTCCACATTGGAAATGCTATGCGTAATGGAATTGATATAAAATTGTATAAATATGCCATTGCCACAAATGTTAACCAAATTAAGTGTACATTACCTTATTATAATAAAAGAATATTGAAATCGATTTCATTATTAACTTACTATCTGTATCAACCGGTTTTCGAATACCAGATTTTCGTACACAGCGAAAAATAATTCGTTGTAAACGTTGTTTTATTCCATTGCCTTCTACAGCTAGACTAGCTGTTGAAGCATGACTTTCGCTATCTGATGCAAATATTGATCGAGCAGGAAATTGCTGCTGTTGTTTTTCTTCACGTACAGTAACACTAGCAGCTTAAAGAAAAAGAAAATAATGTCAATTTTATTTTATTTTATTTTTTAATCAAAATTATATATCATTTCTTTTTTCGAAAAGCTTAGCTCATAATTTGACATCTTTTTGTAAAGGACTCATACGAAATTAAATTTATTCCGTTTGATTTTTATGATTTTCAAGCTATTATGACTTTCATATTTTTCATCCTTTAGTCTTTTTAAGTATAAATTAGGTTAATATCCTTACAGATTAAAAATGTTTATGAACATAAAAGTAAAAACAGGATAAATTTGATTTCTTATGGACCTATGATCCGTTTAGATATACTAACTTGTTGTATTATCGTCATAATCTGGTGGTTGATGAATAATATCTTTAATAGCATCAGTTCGATCACTAAATTTTCGACGTAAATTACGTAATTGTCCACTAATTAATGATACTTGAGATTGACGTCGGATATCATATGAAAGGGATTCATAAATAAGACTAAAAAAAAGAAAACGATTTTAAGATCAATACAATTGATTAATGAAATAATACTTACTTGCTATAACTTCGAGTAACTGATTTATTTATTTGTAGATCTTCTTCATTAGTTTCTTAAAAAAGAATTACTTTGTTTTTTTATATTAACACTAAAAGTTTAATATTACTAACGATCAAATTCGAGACTTGTTAAATTTTCAAGTGTTAGATCATTCACATCACTTTCTGTGTCTAAACTACTTATTAAATTTTCATAAGCATGAGGTCGTCTTGTTCGTTTAGTTGAAATCGTATGTTGAGCCATCTTTTTTTTCTTTAAAAATGGTATACCATAGGATTAAATGATAAACGAATTAGAAACCATCAGAATGCAACAATTACGCTCGTTACCTAAGATTAACCTCCAGAAATAAATTTACTAGATGTCACTTTCATTATATGTGATTGGAAATGTACTATAAGCAATAGAATAGAAAAAGAAAATTTCAGTCACTTTAATAGATTTACTGTCGTTGAAAGAGTTACAAGAATGTCTGATGAAGAAATAACAACAAATAATCCCATGGATATTGATATAGCTCCAAATGAATCCTCTTCGTCGTCTGCACCAGCAACATCAAGTGTTATACTCGAAATTGGTATTGGTAGTGGAGATATATCAGATTCCGATGATGAAGATATTAATGAACCAATCGCATCAAAAAGTTCAACACCAGATTCAACAACTCTTCCAACTACAATTACAAAAAAGCCTTTAACTACACATAAACCTACTTTAACAAAGAGTTTGTATTATTTTTTTTATTGAAAAATATTTTTCATAATAAAAACAAAACCATATTATTTTACTTTCTAGATAAATCTTCATTGGTTAATTATGAAGCTGATTCAGGTGATGATGAACATACAGATGAAGATGAAGAAGAAGATAATAATGAAGAACAAGATGGAGAAGATGATCGTTCAAATTCGAATAGTGCAGTTATATTACATGCTACTGGAGACGCTGATTTTATTCAAATTGAAACAACTACAAATACTGAACAAACAATTGTTACATATGATCTTTTAAATGTTACACCTGTATGTATTATCAATCTTGATATAGCATTGATTTATTTATTATTTATAGCTTAAACCAGAAGAAGCATCACCATCATCTCGTACTGATATAATACCTAGTAAATGAGAATTTTAAAATGATATTAATTATCTTTTATTTTATTAGATTATCCATTAATATTTCCTGAAGATGCTGATATTCGTATACCACCAGAACCTACTAAGAGTTGTTCAGCTAAACTGGAAGTAAGGAATTATCTAATAGAAAACAACCTAATTATTAATGTATTTATATTTGAATAGAAAAAATTTGAAGAATATTATAAACGATTTAGAAAAACAGGTGTCGATCAAAATGTACGTATACAAGAATTAAAAGATTTTCGAAATCCATGGTATTGAAATATATATTTTTTTTCTTTTTGATTATTATTTTTGAATTTTTTTTCCAGTATGTATGAAAAAATGATTTCTCATTTGAATATCGATGAAATTGGAACTAATTTTTCACAAGTATATTTTATTTTATGTTTGGATTTTTAATTATTACTGGTTTTTTTTCTTATATTTTTTAAGGATTTGTATGATCCACATTGGTGGGGTAAAGAGTCTTATTATGAAGAATTAAGTAAAGATGATTTGATTTATTTGAAATAAAACTAATGTGATAATAAGGTTTGTTTAGGTAAAGCACAAAAACTTGAAATGGATCGAAGAGAAAAAGAACGACGAGAACGAACAAAAGTATATGCAAATTTATTCATCAATAATTTTTTTTATACAAATTGAATTTTGTTTTTAGATTGGTTTTACACCAGGTGTTAAAAAAGTTGATCAACTTGGTATTGGTTCATCGACAAATCCTGATATAGGCGGTGAAAAACGCAAAACTCGTTTTGATCAATGATCATATATATAATATTTATAAATATCTACTATTTGTTGTTCCTACTGTTGTTATGGTTAATAGACATCTAAAATATATTTTCTTTTTATTTCTTTGATCTTTATACAAAAGAAGAGAAATACGTCATATTGATTCAAATAACATTTCAATTAAAATTCTTATTAAATGGTTTTCTTTCACGTAAACTTCAATTTCTGTTCATATTGATTTTGATCGTTTGTCTATATTCGTTATTTTTCCTAGTTAAATAGTTTGTTGGTTGTGCAACACTTGGTATAATGATTTTGGTTATCTCTTACCCACTAATATAATTCTGACCGTGAATATAATAATATGCACAGAAAAGTTTCGATACAATTATACATTTATAGAAGATGAACAACATATAAAGCACATAATTTATCATGATATTTTCTAGTATAAGTTTAGTTCTTCTTTTATTAGGTACTGTCTCATTGACAAAAGAATAAGCAAAATTTCTAAAATAAGAAAATTTTGATATTGCTAAAAAGAGTCTACTCTTCTGTTTAAATTGATTTTTTGAATATAATATTATTCTTTTTAATTTAGTATTTAAGTTTTTAGTATGATGCTTATTGAAGAAATATCAGTTTTCAAGCTGAATCCAAATGTAACATTACCATCTATACATGTACATCCAAGTAGCTTTTCTTTATTTAATTGATTTGTTAATATTTTCCATTATCAGCAGTAAACAAGATATGATTATAATTTAATTCATATCGAAATACGTTAATGACTTTACTTGCTTATGTTGATCAAAATACTTTTGCTATTAATAGAACTTGTATTTATTTGATGTCTTGTGCTAGTAAACAACTGTATGTAATATAAAGTTTATTATTTTTATTGATTTTTCTAGATGAGCAAAACCTTTATTAGCATAGATTGTTAATGAACTTGAGGAGACTCTCTCTCAAATATATATATACATATGTCAATAATCAAAGTCTAACTCGCTCCGAATGACAATGTTGAGATCTGATTTTTTTAAAAATGTTGACTTCGTTCTATTTATATTTTATTTAGATAAAGCAAAGAAATATAAGGACTATTTATTGTTTTATTTTCTCTTATGATTATAACTTCAATGAACTAACATGATGTTAACTAATTAAAAGATAATTTATTTTGTTTTCGTTCTTCGTCAAATACTGAAAAGTAAACGTATTTGAATGTTTTGGAAGCAAGAAAAAATGCTATGAAAATAGAGAACGAAAACTTCTTCACTTTGAAAACAGCCATAGAAAACTTCTTTGAATCTCATGAATCTTATGTGAATAGACGCCCCCTGTGCCGCTCTATCGAATGGCTAAAACCCGAACTCGATAGTTTTCAATGGTAAAGAGTTATTCAAAAAATGGCGGCTGGCATTTAAAAAAAATCAGACATTCATTTCAGAAAAGAAAACATCTTTCTTAGCGCTAGCAGCTTTGGTTTTTTGTAAAACTTGAAAAGTGATCTATACCAGAGTGCACCTGACTTCACATATCATGTCTAAATAAGCAGCCGAGAGAACGAACAATAAAAAATGGCTTAATCAATGTAATACTGAACAATAGCGACCTTTGTCCATTTTTGTGTAAATGATATAAAGAGCATCAGATTCGTTTTTCTGCGTTTACCATTCGCGATGCACCAGCCGACAATTTGTTCATCTTTTTCTCGTCTCACTTGTGTAATTCAGTACAATTTTTTCCGCAGACTTCGGAAAATATTTGTTGAATGATGTCATTTGTCATGTATTTATATTTCAGATCTGGTTAAATATATTTCAAATTCACAAATAATTCCCAAAACAAAATCATGTAACTTTTTTCGTTTATTGACGATGTAAAGTAAGAAGAATTTAGCTAGAAAATCTTGTTTTATTTCATTTGTTATCCATTTTAGGTGTATGAATAAATGACAGGTATTAATCCTAAATGTCCTATCTTTATAGCATAGTTATTTGTTTATTAATAAATAGGCAATATATCAAGTGCTTAATTTTGGAATGATAATATCCACAGCACTTATGATATGGAAAGGTTTGATGGTAGTAACAGGCAGTGAAAGTCCTATTGTTGCTCTACTGAGGTTAGTTTGTTAGATTTTGACTGAAAACTGATAATGTATCGGGTTATATTTTTGTAGTGGTAGTATGGAACCGGCTTTTTATCGTGATGATCTTTTTCTATTAACAAATTACCAGGAAGAACCAATTCGTGCTGGTGATATAACTGTATTTCGTATTGAAGGTCGAGATATTCCAATTGTTCACCGAGTACTTAGAGTACACGAAAAATGTGTTATTTGAAATTTGTTTTTTTTTTTAAATAAAACTTTATATTTATTTCTTAATAATAGAGATGATGGTTATGTTAAATTTTTAACTAAAGGTGATAATAATAAAGTTGATGATTGTGGTCTTTATTCTCCAGAACAATTATGGCTTGAAAAGAAAGATGTTATTGGTCGAGCTCGAGGATATTTTTCTCAGTTTGTTTCTGATATTGAATAGATTTATTAATTTTTAATTTAGATCTCTTTCATATATTGGTATGATGACTATTGTAATGAATGATCATCCACAATTGAAATATGCGGCGTTAGCTATACTTGGTCTTTTTGTCCTTGTTCATCGTGAAAACTGAATATGAAAGAAAAAAAGAACTTATTCTCATTTCATTTCATTTTTATTCATTTATCAAAAGAAAAAAAAACGATAGTATTTATTGTTGAAGGTTATTATTATTGTATGAGTCTATTTACAACTGTTTTGGGAAGAAAAAAAGAAAAATCAATTGTTGACTTATCTTTTATTCTTTCAGATAATGTCAAATAAATCTAAATCATCAAAATCTAATAATCAAACAAATAAAACTTTATCTGAATTTGATCGTGGTCCTGTTCAAATTGTTAATCATTTCTCAACATTAACAGACTCGAAAGGGAGATTTCTTCAATTACTTTTTTTTTCCTTTACTTGAAGTCCTTTCATTGAAATTAACGGATAATGATCCAATTAAATCTCGTTCTTTATTTCAATTATTAATTCATTCTCTTCAAATTAGTAAAATCCTTCCGATATCAATGAGTTTATCGACTAATTCAATTCGACAATCAAATCTTTTTCAAAATTATGTACGGATTTTACAAGAAAGTATTCAAACAGTATTAGCTCTTCTTCAAAGACATTTATTATCAGATCGATCAACTCTATTACTAATATTTTAGAAAAAGATTATGCGAAAGTTTTACTTCCAACACAACCATCTTCAAATATTAGTATTGATATTCCTCAAGCTGATATTCAATTGCGAGTGTCTATACCTTTAACAATCAATGAAACTGTAACAACGAATGATTTTGATAATATTGTTATTTTTCGTTATGTTCAAGATTTTTATGAAGTTAATAAATTAGGAAAAGGTGCTTTTGGTAAGGTTTTTTAATGATGAAATTCTTTTGTTTTTCAAGTTTTTATCTTTGACATAGATTCAGTATTTCGTGCGAGAAATCATTTAGATAATCGTATGTATGCAATAAAAAAAATTGTTTTTAATGATAATACCGCTCGAATTCGACGGCAAGCAAAACCTGCTTTACGTAAAGTAAGAGTTCTTGCATCATTAAGTCATCCAAATATTGTCCAATATCATTGTGCTTGGCTCGAATTCGTACCTATACCCGTTCAAACACGTACACGTCGAACATCCTCATCACAAATAAAAAAAACCTCTTTCTCCAGTTAAACAATTTGATTCTCTTGATGAATTGATTCAATTTGAAGGACAATCTTCATTATCACCAGAAAATAAAAAGGAAAATGAGGAAGGAAAATCACCACAGAAAAGTTCAACAATATCAACATCACAAGAAGATGATGAAGATGGAAGTGAGGTAATACAATTCTCTCTTTTCTATGGATAAACAAATATCTATCATTAAAATTCGTATTTAGTCGAATCGGTCAACTGTCATTAGGTTTAAGACTATTTTCCTCTTATAATCAAAAAATTAAGTGAGTTATAGTGGCGCTCGAAGTTAATCGCACACTTCATATAAAAATGTACTTAAATGTCACAATAAAAAATTGCACGTCTTGTGATTTCGAAAAGAGAATACATTTCAAAGGTATTTTAATCGTAAAAGCGAGAAAAACTTCGTCACAACACTGTAAAAAAGTCCTTTTTCTGCTTGAAATCACAAGACGCTCAGTTTTTTCTTATGAAATATACGTATATTCTTATATGAAGTATACGATTAATTGTAAACGAAATCAAAAGACATCATTTTCAGTATATTTTATCTAACATAGTAAGGTTGCAGTGGAAAGAGATGATATTTGGTGCAGATAGACTATCCAGTATGAGCTACATTTTGTCCAAAACCGCACCTTAATGCGCTAATCCCCTCTAAGGATATATAGGAAGCGAAGTCATCTCTTGGGTGTACGACCAATTTCGAGTGGCACTGTAGATGTATAATATGCTAGTCTGAAATGTCTTATACAAGAAGAAACATCATTCTACATTAATTAATTCATGGTCTCGTATCTCTAGAATTCCAAATTCTTGTTGTTTATGGTACTTATTTTGAAATCCTCTTCTCTAATTCAACATTATACAATATATTGAGTTTTCTCAATGTGAACAGCTTCGAATCTTCATTAACTTTGTCCAATCGAGGCTAACATTTGATGAATAGATGCCTACAAGTCTTTTCCAGAAGTGTAAGGCAGATATGGAACTGGTACCAATGGGGATTTCAGACCGGCCGGTCCAGTGTGACCTGCTCAGATCGGTATCGGTACAGGCTGTCAAAAATCCCAATCGGTTCCATTTCTAGTGTAAAGATTAGTTACCGTTTCAGAATGACAGATTTTTTTAATAAAAAAAATGAAGAAAGATAGATTTATAAAGTCTTCAAAAACATTTCTAAGATCTGAACTTCATTACACCCAAAAAGATTTTTACTCCAATCAAATGAAACCATGAACAGATTGATTGTTATGAAAAAATCCAACGATCAAAATACAGTGTTATGTGAATATAAAATTTCACATAAAAATCTTTTTTTCTATGTATTCTTTTCTTAATTAAGTCTAATTTGAATTATGTTTAGATGTCAGTAGATGGAATAAATAATAAACATTCTGATCTACAAATTCATCATGAATATCATTCTAATGGTGGTAATCGTTCATTATCTTCATCAAAAATGTCTCTTCAACATTCAGCATCTTATTGTAAAAGAGAATCAAATAAAGAATTAATTCCACTTCATAGTCGAAATGAACTAGTACATTCAATTGTTCAATCAAATAATGTTAGTTCTAAAATAGTACCTATTATTCAAATGCAATTATGTGATACAACATTACATGATTGGGTACATTATCGTGATCAAGCAATTATTAATGAAATATCTGAAGAAAAGAAAAATGTATTCTATTCATTAAATGATTTAGGTCAACGTCAATGTTGGCATATTTTTAAACAACTTTTAACTGCTGTTGAAGTAAAACTAAAACAAAAAAAAACTCTCTTTAATTTTAATTATTGTTCTAGTATCTTCATTCTCAACCATTTGTTCATCGTGATATAAAACCGCGAAATATATTTCTTGTATATGATCCAAAAGATAGTTCATCTGTTCATGTTAAATTAGGTGATTTTGGTTTAGCTACTTTTCTTGATACAGAATTAATTTCTGACTGTTCTGAACCATTTCCAAATGATGAATCAACATGTGTTGGGACAGCTTTATATGCACCACCGGAACAACTTAATTCAAATCATTGTATAGCAACACCCAAATCTGATTCATATAGCTTAGGAATTGTTCTTTTTGAATTATTTAATATATTTCCAACTGAAATGAAACGATATTGTTGTTTAAGTAATTTACGTATAAATTCGAAAGTTGATGAACAATTTTCTGAATATTATCCATTTGAAACAACTATTATTGAACAATTAGTATCAATTGAAAGTGAAAAACGACCGAGTGTTGAACAATTGTTATCAATGTTTGCAAAAGAAACTCAACAAAGAATGAAAAAACAACATAATAATACAAAAATGATTATTGAACAATTACGAGCAAAATTACGTGATAGAGATCAAAGAATTCAACAATTAGAACTTCAATTAGAAGAAACTATATTTTAGTTTTTATTTCATTAGGTTAATTCTAGAAATAAGTTTAACAATTAAACAGCAACAAAAACATCAGATCTATTTAAAAAAAAACAGTTCTTCAGTTTTTTTTGTATATTTATTTTCGTAATACAATTCAGAAAATAAGCATCGCATTATTTATTTATTAAATCAGTTGACAAAAATATGTCACCTATGTTACAAGAATTTGCTAAGAGATTGACGTGTACTATATAAACATTACCGATGCTTTTTATCACTGCATGTGCTCGAGAATAATAATAAAAACCATAGAATTTTTTTGACAAATGATAAATATATTTTGCAAATAGCAAAGATTTTTGTCAATTCTTTAAAAAATCGAGCTGCATCTGATCCTTTCATTGGGCACATACAGCGATCTCATAATAGATGAACAAGAAACAGACGAACAAATGACAAATCAATTTGATTATAGAACTAATGACAGAAATCATTAACAGTCAAAAAGAACTTTGTTCTGAGAAGAATAATAGTAACATCAGCTTTTCTCTTCATAGATTTATCTTCTAAAAAATTCATCGAAATAACAAAAAAAGTATTTCTTTGTGACTGTTATTATGAAATAGATTTTCTTTCAATACTACTAATGATCTGAGTATTAGTAAATGTTCACTTTGTCATAGATTAGATCAATCTTCAATAGATAAACATTCTCGATGATCTCGAAGATTTTCAATATTTTATTATCGAAAAATAATGACAATATAAACGATCAATCGGAAAATTTGTCAAGCGTACTAAACTAATGAATATTTGAAAGGAAACTAACATGTTCATGGTACAATTTAACTGCACTGAATATGAGAATTGATCATTTAAAGTTCATTGAACTTCACCATCAATGTTTATTAGACAACTGGTTTCATTCATTTGAATCGAACTAAATGAAACAAATTTAGATTATCAATGTCGTCTCGGAAATATAAAAAAGGAGAAAATCTAATCATACATGAGAAAGAATCATGCATACTTGAAAGAAAAAAATCTTCATCAAATTTATATGATAAAATTTATGCATTATTAATTCGAGGTTGATCCAGAATGTTTCGAACAATTGTACTTCAATTTTGTGATAATAATTTCAAAGATTCACATTTAACTGGAAGATAAACCTTTTTGAATATGAATTAGTTTCAATTGAATTCATTTTTATTTGATTTCCATCTAATACTAAATGGATGAAAGATCATCATTTTTTTTTGACATAGTCAATACGGATCCAAATCTCATCTTTGACTTGTTCGATGAAGATTTCTATTTGTTTATTGAATTATATTACAAGATCTGATGTCAAAGAGAAATCATCGATTAATATGCAACAAATGAGCACACTGTCATGTATAGATTTTGCTTTCAACTAACTGCACATTGTAAGAAAACAATTCTTCAGAGAAAACAATACTCAAATCGAAGAACAAGATCACTTTGTGAATTAAGTGATGAATACCACAGTAATAGTCACATTCGATGATCAATTCATGACAGTTATGAAGAATAAGTGAACCTGAGAGGGATCAACGAGTTCTGTCTACATACTTCAACTGAATTTTAAAACTGAATCTTACAGAAAGATGATCGTATCATTCTTTTACTTGTTCACAGAAAATAGTCGATCAAACTCCTACAAAAATCTACATGTATTTAACATAAACTTCACTTTATTTTTTTTGTCATGTCCTGCATAATTCAACTACATACAAGAACATTAATCATAGATAGTAAAAGAAAAATAACAAGAAATTGCACAGATTCATTGATATAAGATTAAATAAATAAATACAGATAGAGGCATAAGCTAACTTCGTCATGATTAAAATATGACCATCACATTGATAATCAGACTTGACATTCTAGAAACAAAGAAAGATTAAGAAATATCCTGATATTCACTCGAATAAAGAAATATTTACATTTATGTCGAACATTTACTTGCTTTCGAACTTCAGCTTGTTTCAACATCATAAGAATGGTATCGACGTTATCACACAGTTGATTCAATCGAGCATCTACGTTATCTAATCGCTTTTGGAAAACTTTTGTAGTTTTATTCAGTTGCATTTCAATCGCATTGAAACGAGTATCAATTGCATCGAAACGAGTATCAATTGCATCGAAACGAGTATCAATTGTATTGAAACGAGTATCAATTGTATTGAAACGAGTATCAATTGCATTGAAACGAGTATCAATCGCCTTGAAACGAGTATCAATTGTATTGAAACGAGTATCAGCAAATGTTCCAGCAACATCAAGATGAATGTTGATCGTTTTAATAGAACGATCCAATCGTTCCCAGGTCGAAAAGTACGGGCCGGTTCCGGCAGGAAAACACCGGAAGTCGCTGGAACAGGGTGGCAGTATTCCGGCCGGAAAATTTTCGGAATTTTTCCAGTCACTTTCCGCCAACTTCCTGCAGGAAACGAGAGGAAGTTGACCGGAAGTCACCGGAAAAAAATACGGAGATGTTCCGGCCGGAATACTGCTACCCTGTTCCGGCGACTTCCGGTGTTTTCCTGCAGGATACGGTGAATTTTCCCGCATTTTCCTGCCGGTTCCTGCAGGATCTGTTGTCCGGAATCATTGACCTAGGTTTATAATTATTTTCTAGTGCAGTCAATCCTTGATCCATCATGTTGTTCTGATCGATAGAAAAAAGAAATAGTTTTATTCAAAATGACACGACAAGAAAAGAAAACTGCACATAATCAAATATCATCTTTTATTACCCAGAAGGAGCCAGTTCGATCCCAATGGATAAGATAGTACACTAATCCGTTGTTCTAGTCAACATGAACAGTGCAAGACTCTTTTATGCTCAAAAAAGTTCTTATAGAATCTCGAAGCTTGACTCAATATAGCGTATCGTGCTCATCTAGTCTATGAATTTTTTCTAGAAGAGACTAAGACATTGTATGAAAACAAGGACTACAAAGTCGAAATTACCTTTTCTTCGTCGTAAATTGTTATCCATTCGTTTTCATTCATCGATGAAACTAATTCATTCATCATCAAGAAATCGTTTTTTTATTCAATAATGCTTTCAATCGTTCACATCTCTCTTTTTATAACCTAATGAATATTTTTCACTCATTCTCTCCCTCTTTGTTCAATTGTTTCAATGAACGAATCGGACGGTGACTTCATCTATTCACATAGATGAACTTGCACGGCAATTAATTATGTAGACGAGAAGAGAAAAAAAAATCATTTTTGATGCCAAACTATCAAGTTCATGATTGATAATTCTAGTGAAAGGAAAAAGAAAAGGAGAAATGCCATGGTAGCTCACATAGTGACAGTCTCAACTTCAAACATGCACTGATTACTGTCTAGTAGTATCCTTACCAAATATTCTTCATTAGCTTCTTCTTCTTCATCTTTTTGTGCTGCTGTTGCTGATGTACCTTCTGTTAATTTTGAACTAATGTCGATTTGAGTAGATTCAAACTGTGGAATTCCATTGTTTGACTGGATATTGTAGTGGATTGATTGAACATTGGACAATTGATTTGATTGAGCTACAGCAAAAATGAGGAGAAAATTAGAGCAATGTATTGAAGAGTTCTTGTGATTGATTACAGAAAACGAAAACGAAAACTCACTATTTTCAGAATCAATTGACGATACATTCACAAAATTTACTTGTTTAAACTGTCGACGATGTGACATAATCTGATAAACAAAAAAAAAGACTCATAGATGATGAAAAGACAAGTATGGAGCAATATGTCTTTGTATAAAATCAAAAAATATTTTTTAATTCATAAGTTTTAATAAGATTAATAAGCAAAAAACGAAATTTATTTGTTCGTTCTGTTTTCTTATGATTAATTTCACATTGATAGTCTTTTTGGTAATTTAATATTAAATTTTCAATGGCAGAGAAGTTTTTTTTCTTCATCATACCAAACAAGTGAAAAATATTCTTGTTTACTGATTGTTCTTAGAACTTGTAAATGTTCATCTTTTTTATATGGGTGTGGGTGTGGGAACTACATTCGTCTATCTATCTATCTCGTTAAAAGAGTATAAATGTATACTAGTTCGTCTATCGACTGAAACGGTTGAGATAATCTACACTTACTTTCAAGTATACACACTTTTTAACCATGGCATCAGAACTACACGTTAGCCTCTGCGATAGAAAAGAGGGCGTTCAATATCAATCTAGTTTTTCAGATATTTGTATGTATCTTCACATTTGAAGGAAGAAAAAAAAGTTAAAACCTTATTTTTCGAGTTTTGACTTCAATGTGATACGATTTAGCTCCTATCACAAATGATAAGATATTGAGGATGAATGAATACACACCGTCGTGTGTAAAAATTTTTTATTAAAATATGTCATAAATTTAATAATATTAGGCATGCTTTTGCACATATATATAAGTGATATAATTTCTTAGCCGTCGACAAAATTAAAAATCTAACAAAAGCTAACTAGTAATTTAATACGATTTTTCCAATAAAAAACAATTATTAAATCAACTAGATATGATAGAATGGTTTGCTTATTTTGTTGATCATCTAAAAGCTATTACATGAAATTTTTCAGTTTATGTAATTATCGTAATTATTTGTCTCACGTCAGATATAAAATAATAACGAAATTCATAGTGTTCAGAGATTTGATTTCTGAAAGAATATAAATATTCTTAGAAAAAGTTTTAGACCAATTAAAAAACTTCTCTTTGTGAAAGCTATAATAAATCGATTTTTCCACGTAGCGCGATACCTTCTATACCGATAGTTTGAAATATTAGGATCAAATATCAATGTTGTCGTCTTATATAGCCTAGTACAAAACGGATAAAAACTCTTCTTGGTACTAAAAACGAGCAAACTTACTCGTATTTATTAATTATTAACGAAATCTCGATAGCAAAAAGGGACCGTTTTCTTCCCTGACTCGCATCATCGCGTTACAAAATCATTATCGTGTAACGTGAATAAAACCGAAATCTCATGCCAATGACTGTTTTTTATGAAAAATCGTTGTTTTTCGTTCGATTTTCCAAATTGTCGGTCACAAGTTGTCTGTAGACTGTTTTTTTCCATCGTAACGCACATTGACAGAAAAACAAAGAACAAACATGCCACCCTCAACTTTTTTGTCCTTTTTCCAGCATCGCGTTTCGCTATATATTTTTGTTATAATTTTCAAACAACTAAGCCAAACAAACTCAGAAATTCAGGAATGGAGGAAAGCACAGAGACACATCTTTTGACGAACAGACTAAGTTTCAAAGTGGTCTATTTGCTGAGAAAATTTCAAAATACTGTACAGAAAACGTCATCTCAATACGCTTGGAAAAGCCGAAATGCTATCGCTCAAGCTTCCAATATCGATCAGTACAGACCTATATAATATTTAAATGATCTATGGATGTAATTTATAAACACTATATCAATAGGAAAATATATTTGGAAGGTTTTTAATTTTCTCTTGAAAGAAACGAATTTTTCATATTTGAATCTTTTACTTGAGATGTATGGACATCATAGACTTCAGATAGCTATCGATCTTAGTAGCTTATTCAAAAACTGAATAGTAGTAAATACAAGAGAAGCTTTCTATTTCTTTACTTTTGACATATACGTCTCGCTTTTTTCAACAATTAGTGTTAAATTTGTTTTTCGTTCTTCTCTCATCGTCATATGTTTTGATATCAACAGAACAGAAACAAATGAATGAACCCACATGGATAATCATCTTTAAACGAAGAAACATCATTCTCCTCGATCTAAGACAAAAAGCGATACAATCGAAAGAAAGATATAATATGACGACATGAAGTACTTTAATCAGATAATATGTTTAAATATCGCTTTAAAATGTGATGCGTTCTTCGTTTCAAACCTAGAAAAACAGTGCATTTCAGATTTTTATGCATCAAGATTTCAAAAAACTCTGCATAGCGCGTAAGACTTCAAGAGATCTGTTGAGACTCCAAAAGAATTTATCAGACCTCATTATTCATAGAGCTCACAGTTTCCATTTTGGTTCGGACTCTATCTGAAATTATAAACTAAATGTGATCAAAGCTCAGAACGTCATTTTACTAACGAGAAATTTAGACACTTTCATCACAACCTACACTTCTCAATACAGTCGTATTGGTCGTCGCTTGCAGAATGTGTTATTCGAAAGCGAAGGTGCACATAATCGCCAATCGATGTATAATATTGTCAAAAATAAGTTTTAAATGCTATTAATGGTGGAATAATATAAAGAGAAATACTCAATACACATTGATATTGCATAACTCGAATGACATGGTATTCTAATCAGAATCTTTTCAAAAAAGAGCTATCTTAATATGATATAAACGTTTTCTTTTAGCTTCGTTATTATTTTCAAGACGCAAGTCTCAATTAATCAAGCTCTGATAAGTTAACTCAAGTTACCTTGAGCATATATCCGCCAAAAAACGCAACGCAAAATTTGTTTTGCTGTTTTTGAAAAATATAACATGAAATTATGAATACTATCAGAACAGAAAGATCCCAAAGTCTGATTGATGGATGTTTTTCTCGATTCGTTTTTATAACTGAGAATGCACGTTTAATAAAAATAAGTTGTCGAAAAAAAAATAGTGATAATCATGTTCTTATTGACATTCTCTATTTACATCGAACGTAGGATATCGAAATCTTAATTTTAAATGTTCTCTAACATTTGTCAATGCGGTCAAAATTCCTCTTGTGTAGCCTGAAAATTTTCCTGTGCATGTATTACTGTTTCAAAAGTTTGTGTAGTTAAAAGTCTTGAATCTTCAAATTTAGCATATTGATTTTTACCGCTATGTGATCTTTATATGGCAGTTGAAAGACTATATCTCAGAAAAAGCACATGTTTTCTTCAATTTCATTACTCTAAAATTAATCTATCGTTCAGAAATATTTGAAACAAAAAAATAAGGTAATTTCTCCAAATGCTTTACTATCCCTCAGATTGACTGCTAATTTTAGTGATACTTAATTGAATGTGTTCAAAATATTTTCTGTTAAAGTTTTTAAAATTATTGAATCATTTATAGGTTTCTTATTCGAATGGAAACATGTGGTTTTAATCGGAAAGTAAAATGTTATTGAAAAAAGTTGAACGTTGTTAGATAATTTAAAATGAAATGTTTAGTTGTTGTTACAAAATACATTTATTTTTATACAAATCCAGATTTAAAGTGATAATTTTCTAATATCATTACCGTTAAATTCATATGTCCTACAAACATGTTTCTGAATATTTTTTGATTCAGAATGAATAGTCAACTCAATTTTTATTAGTTTTTATCCGCTGTAAAAATCACGATTATTAATTAACACCAGTAACAATGATATATTATGTGTTCTGAGCATTTACTTCATTTCGGTAAAATGATCTCTTGAAAAAAAATAAGTTGTAATTAGGTCAGTTTATATAAGTCTACTCATATACATCATTTCACATATACATGTCAAACAATTCATGGAAAGATAAGAGTAAAAATTGGAACGAAATCCTATTGGTTCAAACGACTAAGGATGAGCTACACACACTTTTGGATATAGCGTGTGAATGTAGCTATTCTTAGGCCTTGTCTACACTAGAAAAATATTACGGTATTAAATTCGTATTAAAATGGTGTGCGTCTTCACTTATAAGTTAATGCATCAATCAGAATCCAGAATGATTTGTCGCTTTGTTTAGTTCAATTGGTTCACAGAAATCGAATTTAATGTTGATTGGTGCATTAACTTTAATACGGTTTTGAAAAATGCATTAGGTTAATACACTTTTCAAAACTGTATCAAATGTGTATTAACTTTTCGACCAATCACGTTTCTTAATTCGGTATTAAATTTTCTAGCGTAGACAAGGCCTTTACCTGATATATACAACAAAAATTACAATAATTGATCAAACAAGTATGACATCTGTTCGGTTTAGTAAAATATATTTAACTTTTTTGTCGAAGTCTCAGTCAATGCAGTGGAAACACTATTTTTTTTGTGTAATTAGCTGTGTCAATTGATGCTTACTTTCCACGATTCATCTTTCTGAAAGAATAGATGTCACACTTGCCTGATGAGTCATTGTAATTTTTGTTTCTCATATGTACATCAATATGCACCTGATTATCATACCAATCGTCTATGGAAAGTTTAACCATTATCTTCAACAAATATTCATACCAAAGAAATGGTCTTTACAGCAGTGATTCATTTCTTCTTGTTTCTATCAACGAGCAAACTCGAAAAGTATGCGTAGCTTTCCGTTAATATATATATACCACCCTTCTACTAGTACATTACAGTACAAGGAGAAATGTGAGTGATTGAGAATTAAAAGGGTTGTATTTTCAATATTTTATTGATGCATCAAATAATATGAGCGCTGAAAGAATCGATGTTGGATCTATATTTTTGTTGATAATTTTTACTTTTCAAATTATCCAATATTACTTGAGTTGATTTTCGATAATTGATTTTATTTCATTTTTTCATGAGATGACATGCACGTTACTTTTCCTTCAAGTTTCTTTTTTCCTTCAAGTTTCTTTTTTCCTTCAAGTTTCTTTTTTCCTTCAAGTTTCTTTTTTTCATCTATCAGCAACAGTTAATTTAGAAAAAGAAATTCTTTAAAATGATTGTTTCTATAATCTTTAAATTTGCATTCCATCTTTTAGTATTAGCAAACTATGTTGAAAAATATTTTAATCACCGGTACCAATCGAGGTATCGGTTTTGGTATTGTGAAGCATCTTGTTTCAAACTCATCAAATGTTGAACATATTTTTGCCGGTTATCGTGATGCTAATAAATCTAAAGTAATCGTTGTAAAATTTAATATTTCTATAAAATGTATATACACTTTATATCATTCTAGGAATTGTTAGATTTAGCGAAACAACATTCGAATGTGATTATTCCAATTCAAATTGGTCTGCTAGTTCTTATTTACATGATAGAGAAAAAACCTACATTGATAGTAATCTTTTTTAGACGTTACTGATGATGAAAGTGTTAATAGGGCAAAAGTTGAAGTCGAAAAGAAATTAGGCAATAATCAAGGTCTCAATTGTTTAATAAATAATGCTGGTGTAAGTAAGAATTTCAAATTCAATGATATTAATGAAAAAGATATGCTTGATACATACAGACATAATGTTATTGGAGTATGGCGAGTCACAAAGGTATGTGTATTTGTTTTCTGTTTTACATCTCAGTCTACATCGATCTTTTGTTTTTTTTTCATATTCAGGCATTTTTACCTCTCTTAGAAAAAGCAGTTACTGGTGAACGAAATGTTCTTCAAGCTAGTATTATTAATTTATCAACGACTATGTCTTCAATTACAATAGCTTCAACTCTATCTTATTTTGCCTATGATTATCAATGTTCAAAGGCAGCATTGAATATGTTTACTGTATGTCTTGCAACAGAATTGGCTGAATCAAATATTTTTATTGCTTTACTCCATCCTGGATGGGTACAAACTGATATGGGTGGTAAAAGAGCATCATTGAGTATTGATGAAGCATCTAAAAATATTATTGATTGTATAACTGCTATGAAAAATGAACATCATGGGAAATTAATTGATTCTACTACTGGCAGTAAATGTGATATACTTCCATTTTAAATAAATAATTTCATATATTACACAGTTTTCTAACGAATTTTTTTTTCGTCTAGTCCAAAAAAAGTGATTTGATATGTTAATAAATAAACATGAATATATGTAGACTCAAGTTTTATTCCAAATAAGGGTGAATTTTTTCTTTTAGAACATCGATTTTCGAGATGAAAAGTGTTGTAATTACTGGAGCTAATCGAGGCATCGGTTATGGATTAGTTAGACAATTTTTGGCATCTAAAGTTGATCATATCTTTGCTACTTATCGTCAAATCGATCGATCTAAAGTAGTCTTTTAGATTTTGAAATAAATATATGTATATACATGTTTGTTTATTAAGGAATTATTTGCTTTAGCTAAAGAACATTCAACAACGATTATACCACTTCAACTTGGTTAGTCAATTTTTTGAAGATGATAAAAAAAAATTCAAAATTCCATTTGCTATAAATTAATAGACATCACCGATGATACAAGTGTTCAAAAAGCAGTTGATAAAGTGCAAGGAACATTAAATGGAAAAGATCTGAATTGCTTAATTAATAATGCAGGCATTGCAGCAAAATTAAACGTTTTTTGTATTAATGAAAAAGATATGATGGAAACATATCGACAAAATGTTATTGGACCATGGAAAGTTACTAAAGTATATTTAACTAACTCTTTTTTAATATATATATATATATACCTACCAGGAATATCCATTGCGACTGGAAATCTGTCACTGCCGCTGCCACGATGATTTTCGAAAAGTTGTTCAAAAGTCTCTTCCGTTACTCTGCTAAATTGTCACAGTTAGTTTGAATCCATCAGATTCACGACGCTTCTGACTGTAGAATTTATAGACACTCAAATTGGATGGAAACCCATGCATTTTTAGAATCTTCTTAGAAAAAAACCCACTAGCGCTATAATATTTTTGAAATATCTCCTGTGCTGTCACGAATATTTCTAATAGATACTAATTCAATTTATCTCACTGTCTATATCTAGAACACCATGTAGAATATTTTAATTATTTCAAATTTGTTAATATAATTGAAAGTTTCTGTTTTAAATACATTTTTCATTTAGGCATTTTTACCACTTCTTGAAAGATCTGCATCACAACTGAAACAACGTGATATAAAACAATCATCAGTAATTAATATTTCCTCAATAATGTCTTCACTTCAATTAGCAAAACATCTTCCTTATTATTATTATGATTATCAATGCAGTAAAGTGAGTTCATAATCGATTACGTTATTTTTGTTTTACTCCTTGCTTTCATTTTTTTTTGTTCTTAGGTAGCATTAAATATGTTAACAGTATGTATGGGTAAAGACTTTGAAAAGAAAAAAATCTTTTTCTCTCTTCTTCATCCTGGTTGGGTTAAAACAGAAATGGGCACAGATAAAGCTCCATTAACAATCGATGCTGCAGCTAAAAATATTTTAGAATGCCTGCAAGCAATAACAAATGAACATTATTGTAAATTAATCGATACACGTGACGGAAAAAAATTGACTGTTATCCCTTTTTAATAAATACTTTTTTTAATTTAATGTAGTTTTGTCTAAAATGAAATCTTTATAAACAAAAAAAAAACAATATCTAGCGATCAGAGTAGTGTGTAACGATATGATTTTCTATTAGCTATTATGTTTGCCTGCCGAATTGATTTAATCACTAGAATTAATGCCATAAATGTTAAAGAGATATTTGCAATGAATAAGATAATTAAGGCAGTACGACGTATTGTTAAACCAGTTTTATCTACCCATGAAGACCATTTTGTTTGTGTAGCATTGACTATTGAAGACCAAGGAATGTGATAAAATGGCGAACGAATTGTATTCATAATTGTTGTGTTATTCTTAACTTTGTTTTCATGAGTTATATTGGTGGCCAATAATACAAAATGATCACATTCACCAGAATAACAGAGATGACCAAGACACATATTTGTAGAAGATCGTACAGTTATTTGACATGTATTTAAAGAATCTAAAGAAACGAAATTTTACAGATGTTTTTCATATGCATATATATTGTATACTTGTTTTATTCATGCTATTCAACGTACAACAACTAGTGTTACATGGATTCATTAAATAATTAAATATTACTTCAATAGTAGTAGTCGTACTAATGAGTTTTGTATTATTGGTATCACATTGATAAAGATCAATGTTAATTGAAGAATAATTTTGATTAAAATCGGTATAATCATTGATGTCAGAAGCAATTGTAATAAAAGTAAACTGATGATGAAAAAAGAAAATAAGTAAAAAAAGATAAAACTGCATTTCGTTCTTGTATTTCTATCCTGTAAAAAGAAAAGAGAAGAATGAAGTAAAAAAAAAAAGAAAATGTAACTTTTCATTCTCATAATGGTAATACGACAAATGCCTATGAAAAAAAAACGAGAGCACAGCTGGTTTGATGATTCGAGCAGTCAGATGAAGGAACAATGCTATACAATGAATGTAGTCTTCATTTATATTTAAAATATTCTTTTTATTTTCTTCAAGTTCACGTTATTTACATTCTAATGGTTACGTTTCAATATCGATATTTTGATGCTTTTCTTTTGTGATCATTTATTGTACAATTGATAACTAGACAATATTCCCGAACACTAAATGACTTTGCTCTCTACAAAGTTAAGAATAATGATTTCTTTGAGAGGCACAGAAGTTCGTCAATCAAAAAAAATCCAGGAACGATGATTTAGATATCAGAGAAGATCTTATTATTTCTGTATCATTGTGCTTTTTTAAGCTAAATGTTTTATGAAAAAGTATTTGAAACATTGTCTAATTCGAATATTAGATAACTTAATAGCCATATTTTGATGTATAGCATTGTCAATAAATAGATGCGACTTTTACTCAAAACTAAATAAAGTGCTTTTTCAATGAAAACAATCTACTAGTTATACTCTTGTTTTAAGTTATGTTTTTCGTGTAATTGCTAGAAGAAATAGATTCGTAGAAAAAAATAAAAAATAAACAACTAGATTAGAAAATAATTGCAGCACCTAATTTATACATTGATTTTCTTCGAATAGAAATGTGTATCCTATTTCAAAAGATTTTTTTATAAAAAGCAAGGACGACATGATCAAGCATAAGCACTGGTTTTGGTCACCAATAAAATCTAAGTCATTTTAATTTTGAGAAAATCTGATTCATTTTGTCAGACTGTTCTAAAATAAACTAATACCATAGAAGAGAAGTATGAATGATTGCATCAATAAAACCATTACGGTTTTTGCGATAGAATAGATGTCGAAAAAGTTGTTGAAATGATTCGACAATGTATATCAAGATGGAAAAGACGAAATTGAAGATTATTTTGCAGTGCTGAAATCTCAAGTAGGAATGCATAAATTGAAAACAAAATGGATACTTGACTACATAGTTTGTATTTGGACCATCTATTAACGAAGAACGTCCTTCAATCGGTTTTATTTTAATTCGAATCGACCCCTCTTTCAAATGAGAAGGGAGAGCATTATATAAGAGAAATAAAGCGTCAAAGAATGTGGATTGTGTAAACAAATATCGATGAGTCAAGAAATATCACATATGACTGTAACACCATCATAAGATAACGAAATTACAATACTAAGATAAATGATCAAACGAAGGCGTGTTAATGTAATTCAGGAAAAGCTCATTTTTCGAACGAATAGGATCGTCTGGCCAAGTTAAAAACAAAGTCACAAATGGAAAGTAAAACATAGATGTCTCAAAAATGAAGTAACTTCAAGCAAACGAATACATATGATATCATTGTCATCAATTATAATGGCGGTTGCAGCAATCAGAAATTGTTGATCGGTGATCAATGGTTGGCAAGATATCTTGATTGAAATTATTGTTCGAATGATCACTCTCTTGATCGTGTGCGATCGTTTTTGACTTCAGATGAAATACTTCGAAAAGATGATTTCACATTTAATTGCATGTTATCGTTCTGTTGTTTGCTGAAAGTCTTCTTTAATATGGTTAAGATTTTTGCAAAAACAAAACTAGCATCTAAACCAAACAATATCGACTTCTATTATTTTCCGACCGGTACATGAATGTCATTATTATTTGAATCTAAGAAACTATTTTAAGATTTTTCGGAAAATCGTGCATGCACACAATCCTTGAAATACATGAGCGACATAAACCAGGATTTTTTCTACCCATGTACCTTGTAAATGATGAATGGAAGATTATTTCTGATTAATGTACATAAGCACACTCATTATGAAACATAGTACATGGGTGAGAAATCATATGATGTATTATATGGGTTTCAAGGAAAATAGATGAATTTCCGGATATCAAATGATGGTAGAGTAAATAAAACAAAAACTTCTCCAACCAACGAACCGCAACCGTGAGTTCCGAGTAATTTTAGGAACCGTGGGGCTCTATGTTTGACTCATCTCAAGTGAATGGTTCCCTGTTATCCAAAAACCATTACTTTTCTAATGCGTATGTAATGGTTAGCTCTCGTTCCGTCGAAAAATTGTTTCTGATGTTCCTGTTTCATCGAATTCTTTTTCTAGTGTTCTTGTTTTGTCGAAAGGTGTAAATAAAATGAAAAGATAACGAATATAATTAGCTTATCATAAATTCTTTGATTCTCTTGAATAGATTAATTAAAAGAAATGACACTGAATCAATCTGTTGAAAGAGTTGATATGAGTACACTGAAAAAAAAAGAGGTACTTTCTGGAACCTCAAAAAAAGGTTCGGTAGATGACAAAAAGTTTGCAAATGTGTTGAAAGTTTCAAAAAACGAATAAAAAAAACCCTGAACCTTTAAAGGATCTTACCGTGTACACAAGTGAAGATCCTTTTTTCTTCGAAACCTTTTTAAGTTCCGTAAACCAAAAAAAAGGTTTTATAGAAAAGTACGAAACCTTTAAAGTTTCGCAGCTCATATAATAGTTTTATAAGAAACCCAGTACGAAACCTCGAGGTTCAATACGAAACCCTAAAGGTTTCGTACTTTCCTACAAAACCTTTTTTTTGGTGTACGGAACTTAAAAAGGTTTCGAAGAAAAAAGGATCATCACTTGGGTACACGGTAAGATCCTTTAAAGATTCCGAGTTTTTTTTATTCGTTCTTTGAAACTTTTAACACATTTGCAAACTTTTTGTCATCTACCGAATCTTTTTTTGAGGTTCCAGAAAGTACCGTTTTTTTTTTACAGTGTACATTGTAAGAAATACGTACACGAAATGGAACAAGAAAACATACGACAAAATATTCAGAATTTTTTAATACCAATTAATCGCCTAACTTTTGCAAAGTATTCTTTCAAAGTTAATGTCTATTGTTTATAACGATTTTCTCAATCTTGTAGTCGCGCATTCCGATTGACAAATAATTTTTTTCTTGGCGATAATGTATCGNGTTTTGTTGTAGTATGTTACCCATGGAGACAAGGATACATTTCGATTTGGTTTTCGTTATATGGATGTAAAATATTATTTAGTAATGATACCATGTGCTGTGAGTTATTCAGTATTCTATTTTTAATAACAAAATATGATGTTTACCATTGATTTTTCAATATTTTGACAAAGAATGTAACTAGAATTCTGTGATTTTTACCCTCCGAAAGAGAAAAGTAGAGTAAGTGATAGTTTCCTGAATTGTCTGAGCTACCTGTTAGTCAAGCAAATGAGTTTTTGTTGTAAATTTTGATCGGAAATGTTTGAAAAACTTTCTTAAACTTAACAAATCAATGGCTATGACATTACCCTATTGATCTATAGAAGACTAATTCTTCTACATTACTCGATTGGGAAGTTAAAAGGACCTTTTTTATTAGTTTTAAAATCAGTAAATTGATCACTAATCAGTCACAGCTGAGGTCTGTTATTTGTATAAATCTATGCTCATTCCACTAGTTGTATCTGTATGTAGTCTCAAAAGTAAGTAGCTAGAACATGATCTCCTAATTCATTCGATGTAAAGATTCTAATATTACATGGTACATTTTAAAGATTTTACCTTACTAATGTTAGGTCATCTCTAAACTAAAAAACAAAGATCATCTGTGAACTCGACAAAGATGAATATATCCAACTGAATATAATTGAAAACAAACAATGAGCAATTAACTGATTACAAAATGTCCAGTAAAATACTTATAATTTCTGAATGGAAGAAGCTAGAATGGTTGATCTTGTGCAGATTAGAAGAAAAATATTTTCTCTATTAATTTTCTAAAATACAACTCATAAATAATTCTGAAAAGTTTTTGAGAAAGTTTCTCATCAAAATCTACAACAAGACTTTATCTGATAGATCAATACATAATCTCAATAGTTCAGCAAAGTTTCACTTCCATACTTTTTTCTTTCGAATAGTAAAAACTGTAGAATTATTCATCTAGTTTCATTCTCTGAATATTTGAAAAGAATATTAATATGCATTATATTTTATACTTAACAATACTTTTTTTTCTAATTGAGATCAATTTTTTTCTTATTAACTTTAGACTGGTTCATTTGATGGTACTCATTTTCGTGGTTACACTCTTTGTAAGACAGATAGTCTTGCACAACATATCTATGTTAAGTATGAATATTAAATCATTGTATCGTTGCTTATTTGTCTTTGTATTCTGATTTCATTTAGTCACGCTCATCTTTTCAAATATGAACTTATTCGTTATACAAAAGCTAATCTAGCTTATACTCGTATTGGTCTTGGGGATCCAAATAACAATTCATTTTTCTTTGCTCACTGTCGTGTCCCTAGAAGATTCACCAAGTGTTTTCATATTGTTAAAAAACCTAATCCAAAAATATCTGATGGTGGATGTTATGGAGGTGGGATCCAACCTGAAGAAATTGAAAATCATCAATATACGCTGAATGAATCTTTCTTATTCGAAGAATCAAGAAATAATCGAATAATAATGAGCAAAACAAATAATTTGACACCACATTTTGTTGATAATTTACTGAAATATATCTAATAAATACTTAGGGCAATCAAAAATTAGTGTCCTCAGGGTCTTATTACCTTATTATAAGAGAAAATAATTTTTTCTTTTTTATAAATAGATAGAGCGTCTTTCACTCTATCTTTCTATGCTATTTGATTGACCTTCACTCATTATTGAAATAAGAAAATTATGATAAGAACAGTTTTTGTTGGAGGCTGGCTGGTGATATTACATTATATTATCATCGTTATGTGCTTTTTTTTCGTTCTTTTCTTATTTTTCTCTTATCCTTTTCCCCTTTTTCCTCGTCTTGCCATGTGATTGACCGGGTGTGGGTGTAGACGTGGGGGAGGTGTGTGTGTAAGTGTGGGTCTTCTATTCATCTACACCCACACCCGCCCACAGCCAAACTCACACCCATCGACACCCACATCCTCTGTTTTTGTGCACATTCTAATTGATCCTTAATTAGAACTCTATCTTCCGATCATGGAAGCGATAATCGAAACTTTTCTGGGACGGAGAACTAGAATCTGCACTAAACTTACCTCGAAGTACCATTGGTTGAGCATTGACCAACAGAAATCAAGTTGTAGGGAAAACGACTTTCTGAGGCTAAGTTAAGTCGAAGAGTTCAAACTTGAGGTGTACAAGCTCCTAAGTCTTAACATTGAGCAGTAGGCAATGAAATTCAAGGGTTTATAGAAAAGGTTTGTCAGGCAAATTTTTATGCCAAGACATTCTAGAATGACCGATTTATCTGATTCACTTTTTGAAATACACATAACTCTCGGATATGAATCGGAGATTTCCACATTTATTTATACTTTTCTCTCGCCTTTCCCAACTCTTTATCGTTTCTTGATATGTATGGAAAGACCACTGTCCCTTAGGNTGCTATCTTAACTTTGACACAAGAGCGAATTGAACAATTATTTAAAGAAGGTATGCAGTAAGGAAAATTTTTGTTTTTTGATATATCTTATTCAATAAAAATTCTATTAGGTAAACGTGTAATTATACTTGATGCCGCTGTATTAATTGAAGCGCAATGGACTGCAGCAGTAAATGAAATAATTACGTTTTTTTTATCAAGAACAAATTCAACCTCTTATGGAGGAAGACGTTTAGATGGATTTTCTGCAAAAAAATCACTATACATATAAAAATCAACAAGTTTATTAGTAATTAATAATTTCTTTTTGATGGTTTCAAATTTGAAGAACAGCTCGAAGTGACTGATCACAATGGAATAATAAATCAAATAAGAGTAACAGCAAAGGATTAATATGCTATTAAGCAATTTTGAGATATTTCACATCTTAATTGATCACGACTCCTTCGTACCTATACCAAGAGAATTTGATACATCGATGACAAGTTCGGTGATCATCACTATTGAAATTCATATTTGAACGAGAAGAATTTACATATAAAATACGTCATGGTAATGATTTTTTCGGAAGAATCGATAATAAATTTCTCCTTTTCATATAAATAATTAAAAAGAAAAGAAAAACAAAGGCTTCAGCAATCAAAAAGAAAAAGAATCCATAAGAAAAACCTCTATGAATACAATGAACTAAAGTAAATCAACTTAAACTGTAGGAATACCAACATTGATACATTCTAAAAGTAGATGCCAAGCATGTTCAACTTTTTTTTGCGTAACACTTTCTGCCCAATAAGTACAAAGAAGAACGTTAGCATATGAAAATCGTTCTTGATTTGATATTTGTGTGCTTAAACGACGTTTTGCCTCATCAGGTGATAAGTGATCTCGTTCGATAACGCGTCGAATAGCCTAAGAAAAACAAATACATTCATCGATAGATAATTATATCTATCTTAAATAAGCAAATATAAATACTTCTTTTGGAGGAATAGATGCAATCCATATTTCATTTACTGCTGCAGTCCATTGCGCTTCAATTAATACAGCTGCATCAAGTATAATTACACGTTTACCTAATAGAATTTTTATTGAATAAGATATATCAAAAAACAAAAATTTTCCTTACTGCATACCTTCTTTAAATAATTGTTCAATTCGCTCTTGTGTCAAAGTTAAGATAGCAGACCAAACAATATCCGTTAGTTTCTTGAGTTCATCAGATGATTGAAAGACTTTGCCACCAAGTATTTTTCTGTCAATCGATCGATCAGTAGGATTAACAATTTCCTCACCAAATGTTTCGATTATCTTTTTATAAACGTCAGTATCCACTTTATATGTTTCATGACCTGTATATATATGTATTGAAAAAAAAATGATTTTTCGAATGGAAAACTTTTTAATGATTAGAAAAATAAAATACTTACCTAGTTTATCACAATTAATAACAGCAGCACCAAGTTTTTCAAGTCTTCGAGCGATACTTGATTTTCCTGAATCTATACCACCAGTAAGACCAATCACATAAGGTCGATTGGATTCGGCTGGTTTCTATAATCATTAATAAACAATCAGCAGATGAAATTGTTGAAATAGCAAAATAAATTTACCTTAGGCGGTTTAAGAAAGATACTAAGCATTTCTCGTCGAAGTGAAGTGGAACTTAATTTGTTATCTCCATCTTGATTATTATTATTAGCTGGAACCATTGGTATGACATGAACGGCTAATTGAGATAAACCATTTTCTTGTCTTACTTTGTTAACTTGTGAAGCACCTTGTTGTGTTTCATCAATAACAATAATACACTAAATGATTATATTTTCATCTTTAAGAAAAGTACGATTATTCTCTTAAAAAAAAGACTTTACATTTAAATCAGCTATTGTTGCTGATGGACTACACGGATCTTCAATGGGTTCACAGTGTACATAAAGGTTAGATCGAATTAAACCAACAAATGAACGAACATTTGACATACGATCATCTATCGGTTCGATTATCTCAGCTAATACCTTAATAAATGCAATAAACTGTAAGTATGTGATCTATTAAAACTATTAAATTTTGTTTTATTTTTAAAATTTTATTAAAATTTCTATTTAAGAAATATGAATCAAGAAAGTTTTCAACAGAAATTACTTTGTTTTGTATCATGACATCATCGGTGACACCAACAACAATTTTCTCATCACAGAGTAGAGCACTTTCCGTTAACAATAATTTGTGACCATTATGCAATCGATCAAAGGTACCTGAAAGCAAAAACAATACGCTTAATTTTTATGATTTATTTTAACTTACCACCCAAAACTCCTCGGCTATATTGCCTAGTAGATCCCGTATTTAATAAATCATTATCAAATGTAGGAACTTTATCAGCTGATGGATCTTCTGTCGTTTCTTTTTCAGCAATGATCCGAAGTTCAAAATTTTGATCTAATTCACGAAAATGATCTCGACAATAGTTGTATAATCCTGGTGATGATGAACAATCAGCAAAAACTGCTTCACATATACGAGGTAATCGAATAGGATTCGTAGATTTTATAATTGAATCAACATTATGAAGAAGAATATCAACTGAAGGATTTTTTGTTGCTGGTAATTGTTTATAAATGGCATATAACATTGGACGTATACATTTTTGTTGTTGTTCACGATCAAAGAATGTTTCAGATGCTGATGTTAATTGAAAATTTGGATTTTGAACAACAGCATAAAGATTTCTTTCAACATAAGGTATAACGAAAGAAAGTATAAATGGGATACGTGAACGAATTGGATTTGTAATTAATAAAAGTGCTGTTTGGAATTGACGCATATTTTTTTCACTCATGACAATGTGTCTCGTATTTAATAATACATCAATGCAGTACAAATAACAACATTAATAAAAAAATATATTGGCATAAACCTAAATATTCTCTAGAAGGAAAATTTACGTAATCAGCACAATAGAACGTTTGCTGAAAAACAAACAAAGTTTTCACATCATCATCTCATGCGAAAATTATGTCAAAACAAAAACAACCTAAAAGAATCAGACCTTTCGATAATGCACTGATGTTGCTTGTAACAATTTCAATTGGTCGATCTTATTGGAATATTTATTTGTAATTTCTTTTTTTCTGTTATCGATCTTTCATAAGATGAGTTAGTTGAAAAATTCAAGCTTTCGTTTTCAACAACAGCAACAAGACAAACCAACATCCAATCTCCTCTTTAATTTTTATATTACAATAAAAACATATTTATCTAAAATGGTTGAAATTTACACAACACCATTCTTGTACCGTGTCATATGGCTATTACACACTTGATTGATGAAAATCAAGTTTAACATTTTTATGAACATCGAATTCTCTTTTGATTTTTCGATAAATCAATCTTAACTCTTGAAAAATGGAAAACAAGATATTTGTTGTTTTGATTAATTTTATTTTTCAAGACAAGACAACATCATCGATTGCACATAACGAAATAAATATTATTGAGAAAGAAAAAAAAATTAATGTGAATATCTATAGGTAGGTTTGATCGGAATGATGACTATTAGATTGTATGATAAACTTTTATAGAATGAAATAATATATTTATTTTATGTTCATTTAAAATTTTATTAAAGGGATGTTAATGTAGTAAGTTGTTTTAACACTTTAATTTGACTTGTTTCTCGTATCTCACCAGCTAAAAACATTTCATCGACTACTGAATAAACCTTGAAATATAGAAATTAAATAGTTATGGATATTTATAGGAGAAAAACAAAACTCTTGCTTTATAGAAATTGAAGACCAAGTCAAGTTCGCACACATTGTGGAAGAATCTTTTTTATAAAGAATAGATTGAATAGTTCATATATTTTCATTTTCAATTTTACTTACTCATTGAGAACTTCAACAAAATTATGTATCGCTTCAAGATAAGCTAAATTATTATCGTTAACATCTACACAAATACAAAAGTATAAACCAGCATAGCGACGATAGACTATTTTAAAATTACGAAACTAAAATTAACAAATCATTTTCATTATTAATCATTATATATACATATATATATATATAATTAGTCGTACCTCAACAAAACTAAATAAATACAACGACAAAAGAAGAATTGAATAAAAGAACAA